AATGTTGTTGTATGAAAAAACAATACACGTTGTTATGATCAGCTTTGCAGTAGTCTTTGGACTTTTCGCGTTTTAATTTCAATTTCAATTTCAATTCTGATTGCTGTTAAATTGCATGAAAAATAGTTAGAGGTCTTGACATTGAACAGCAACAACAAATTTAATGGCTTATAGCAACGCTGGTTAAGTAGCAAAATTACACAATCTTACTCAGTTGCTGTACAATTGTCATATTTTGCGTCAGACCAACTAAAGGAAGAGAGCAACTTACTTTTTTTTTTAGTAGCAATTTTTGAGCAACTTTCGTAACAAAAAGCAACTTTTGCCTTTTTTTTGAGCAACATTGCCGTATTTTTTTGAGAAATTACAGGAAACTAATGCTCGAGCAACTTGTGGGAAGCCCTAGAATTTATAGAAACATATGAAAACCAGCTCATGTTGAACTAGGACGAATTTAATTTCAAGGAAAATTTCAGTGAAGGCTATATTTAATTATGAGAGACGACAGTGGTCACAATTTTTGAGGGAAAGCTTCCTTCTTATTACGTTCTTCAGGCTCTCGCGTCATTATAGCGAACCTTCAGGAATAAATAATGCGTAATCCCCTTTTCTGGACTTGATCAACCTTTTTTTACTTACATAAAGCCTAGAAAAGTAGGCTTTTTGTCCTCATGACACAACGATATTCCAAGATCGAATTCATCAATGCAAAGACGACATTGACGAGGTCGCAAGAGAAAATGTCGGCCCATTCAGAACGCAGAGAATGCAAAAGGACGCTTGATGTAATATTATCTATGTATTGGACGCTTTGGTTCCATTGATTAAAAAATTAAGGGTGTTACACAATTCGTAAGCTGGAGCGCTGTATGTTAAGTGAGGAAACGTTTTCCAGAGCATGGGAAAATGTTGATAAGAAATGATGAATGTTCTTCATGGAATGTTTAACTCACTGCACGTGGAGGCCAAAAATTGTCCTCTAAAGCTAAACAGTTATCACCTACCTCGCATAAATCTTTTGTCTGTTGAATGTTTTACTTTTTTGGGGTGAGGTGGTTATTCCAAGTGATTCTCCAGAAATAAGGAAAATCAACAAAGCCACAAAATACTGTGCCATTATGAGAAAGTAACAGTACACTATGCGTTTATGAGATTCGCGCTTTGTGCTTGTCAGTAGCCAATATCTTAAGTTAATCTTGTGTTTCTGTTTATTTCCTTTTATGGTATTTATATTTAAAGCTATTGATTTCGTCTTAAGCATTTGTTTTTCTTTTTCGAAAATACCAATAATTTAATTCAGCAGACTTCCGGCCTTTTGACAGGAGTTCAATAATAAACACGTACAGAACAAACCTAAACTTTAATAAACACATTAGTTTTTGTGTCTATGTATCTATCTCAATTTTCATCTTTCAATCACCCGACCGGTGTGATTACCCACCTGCATGCACGTTTTGTTTGTTCGGCTTTTTCACAGAAGTTTTAGAGCTTCTCATTGTACGTTCACGTTCATACTTCAAAAGTGCGAGGATGGGAGAGATATTACCATAATTTTCACGTAGCTTTAAAACTAGTTGAACAATACTATATCTTTCTTGATTGTGCTGGCATTGTTTGTTTGTTTGGTTTTGTCGTTATTTTTTCTAATTCTAAAACGACAAAAAGAGTTAAGGTCACTTTATTCTTTTTTGCGTGTATCCACTTCTAGGTGGGTGTTGTTAAATCTTCTTTAATGATCATGAGAATTTTGATTTAGCGCCAGCTAAACAAGCCCTTAAGATTGTTTTTTTGTGATCATGATTTTAAGCCAATCAGTATTTCACATTCCTTAAATGCTGATCTCTTTGGCGGTGCTCTTCTGTCAATAAGTTTTAGCAATTGTTAGTAGTGGACTTTGCCCAGGGAGAGAAACAGACAAAAATCAAAATTAGCATAGAACTGCAACATGACACAGAAACGAAGCGAGGTGTCTGCTCGAAACAAACAGTAGTGGTTTGTTCACGAGACACCTCGCCAGTCGCATAACCGCCCAGTGTGATTGACGCAGGGGGATATAACAAAACGTGCGGCAAATTACTGTCCATGATATACAAAAGAAAAGGGATATATGTTTGACACAGGCATTAATGTTTCGATTTCAAGACGCTTCATCAGTCGCATAACCGCGTAAGGATCGGTATGTGTAATTTTCCTGTAGACGCTAATGGTATACAGGAGTGTAGGAGACTGAATGTAAAAGAAATTGAAACATTATGCACCAGTCTATGTAAACCGACACCACCGACCAAACTTAGTGGGGAATTTTCATGGTATTTTCATGTTTTTGACGGAGGAAAAGGTTAAGGGTATCGGGGACTTTGACGACTTTTGTATGCCATCCAAAATCAGCGAACAGTGGACCGGGGTATTTTCGACCGAGCTAGGTGGGCTGGGCAAATTTCACATTGAGGAACAATAGCGGCTTTTGATTTTAAAAAGAAGGCAAGAGCAACAACGCAAAAACAATTTGTGCTGAACGTTAGGCCAATTACCTTTTAATGAAAGCCTTGCAGATTGAAGAGAATACACTAACAAAAAGGAAAAAAAAACAAAAACACTCTTCCACAAGGAAAATAATGTCCACTTCTTTCAACTGATCACTGATTAACCACTGAAATGAATATAACAGCGAAGTTCAGGTTTCTTATTATTTACTCTACATTTGGTCAATTTCAAGCCAGTTATTAACTTTCTTTAAGCAAACCTCAGTTACTTCAGATTACCATATACGTTCGGCGTTCTCACGTTCAAACATCTTGTTTGGAATGCAAAAGCGGTAAACTAATTAGTCAGAATTTTCCCCTAGTTAAATTCGCCTTCCTTAAGAAGGATTCAACGCATCTGGTTAAAAACAACACTCTGAAATCAAAGCTTAGCGTGCTTTAAAATCAAAGCCGTGTAACTCTAGACTGCACCCCAAATTTTTAGCGCTTATAAAATAAATGAATAAATTAAAATAAAGCAAAAGAGATTTGAGAAACAAAATGTAATTATATGTTCTAGAAAAGTTTGAAAAAAAAAAAAATTCTTATGGAAGCCAAATTCGATATAATGGAAAAAGATTACTTTAGGAGTTTTCCTTTTTTCTTTTTGTTCTTTTTTTCACTGAAATTATTAAACTTCGACCCCAAATTCATATTTATTTTGCAGAAAATAGTCGATCTCATCGAAATCGGCTCCTGACGGTAACCTGAAGTTATTGCTGAGCACTGAAAATACTGCATCTATAACTTCTGAAATGTGACGATTAAAAATTAATTACACATGCAGATGGCACTAACATTCGGGGTTACTATTGTGAACCTTACACTACCATGCCGACGACTTTAGTAGTAAGCTAAAACTAACAAATTCGTGCTTTATATTTTTCTATATTTGCTTATTAAGCTTTTCTCAGAAAGAGAGTGCCGTATTAGGACTGGGGCCTAGACACTTCTTCAATCATTATCCGGGACACTGAATTCCACCCAGTGTAAGCATCACCCAGGGTTTGGCTACTGCACTTTCCTACCCATAATTCCACTCTAACCGTTCCTTGTGGGATGTTTTCACAGTACCCCTCAAATGACCGATGATGCAGCTGATTAGCATTTCTCCCAGATGACCAGTTGTTGTAAACAACAGCCTCAATCGTCATTGGTCCGCTGCATTCGTTTCCATTGAACTTGAAATACCATCGGCCACACTGAGTATTGCCATCGACCCTCATGTTTCCCTGAAATGAGACTTTAAGCGCTGTATCCGACTTCAACTTGTTAAAAGCACAGTCCTGGAAAACAAAACAAAAAACGATTAAAATGTCTGCAACTCTAATATTGCTAAATACCAAAAAAAAATTAATGCCAGCTGGAGAAAGGTTTACTGGGGATGAAGGCTGAGGGAATGAGGTGGGGTCATAGCTGTGCTTTAAATTTTATCTCAAAAAAACCTCTTTCCACCTATGATGATCCTCTGTGGTACTTATAGATAGTTCGTGTTTAGCTTTTAACGCGTTCCTTGTTTACCTTAATCTTCCCGTTATCAGTACCGCTCTCTGATTTCCAAACACATTGTTTCCAGTTGTTTTGTGGTGCTACACTTGCTTGACTTGCTTTGACACTCTCTCCTTTCTCCCCTTTGTCTCCTTTTTTTCCTTGATTTCCCACAATGCCTGGCTCTCCTTTCATTCCCACTAACCCCGATTCACCTTTTATTCCCATAATTCCTGGTGGTCCGCTCTTCCCGGGAGGCCCCTCGCGTCCTCTGTCTCCTCTTGGACCCTGCGCTCCTTGCGATCCCTTATCACCAATTTGTCCTTTTGCACCTTCTCTTCCCTGGGGTCCGTGCGGCCCAGGCACGCCCGGCATTCCCGGCATGCCATTTGATCCTGGAATGCCTGGAAAACCATGACTCAGTATAGATTTCTGAAAGTAAAGATGTGTAATTAAAAGACGAGCCATAGCCTATTATAGCAGCGAACGGAGGTAATGTATTGAGAAAGTATAATTGCAGTCTGTCTTAGAGGCAAAGCCATAGGCGCACGGGCCGGGGGAACAGCCCCTTAAAAATTTTGGGCGACTCAAATTTTTTGGGCAGCAAGAGAAATTTGGGCAAAATAAAGTCAGTTTTTTAAAGAAGTTTTTTCATCTTTTTATTATTTCGAAGAGATAGATATTTTCTATTTTAACCTGAAGTCGGCGTGGTAAATCCAGTTCAATTCACAAGAGACAGTGGTTAGCTAGCACGTTTTGAGTTTCTGGTTATTAGTGAAGGGTATCATGTTGATTTACATATTTGTAGTTTTTTAATTGATGGGCTCTGTGCCCACTGTGTAATTCCAGTCGTGAATTGATTAGAATCAACTTCCGCATAACGTTTTAGAATCAACTCCGCTCAACGTAACCATTCAGACCCTCGGCTAGTGTCGGAGTGAACAAAGTTTCAACAGCGTATGGCAGATAGCATCAGCAATAGGTCTGAAAATGAAGAAATGGCTGACCAATTCTCAGTTTTTACAAGAAGCCAGGGCACTCAGACAAACGCCATCGAGTCGCCCTCAAGCCCTAGTTGGTGAACACTCGCAAATACAAACGCAGCTGACACCGGAATCACACCACCGTATATTCTGCGTCACAGACGTAATTTAACCCCCGTTAGTAAGGTCTGCGAAGCAGTACCGATATCCTTGTTCTGGGTCACCAACGGACTCAACGAATTACCGGTATTGCGTTTCAAATTTCCTTTCATCCTGATTGGTAAATCGACAATGGCTTTTTTAAAAGACCAATCAACGAGAATTTCAGCGCTGCTTCGCAGACGTACTTAACAAGAGTCTAGTTTTGTCTGTAGCGCAGGCTAACCACCATATTAACATTTACTATGCGCCCATCGAGAAGGTGCTGTCAAAGCTTGAGCTCAGGTTTAGCGGAAATGATCAGGAAATACTCTGTGCTTTGGAAAACATCTGTCACAGCGAAACACCTGATAAAGAAAACTTCTCCCGCGTTGCTAAATTTTACAAAATCAACGGCGAGATTCTCGAAGCTGAGGAGAAAATGTGCGCGAGCTTTCGTCGTGTGCGCGGATTAGGCTACGTGACTGTTCAGAAATGCTGGAGACAATGCACGAGAATGATGTATTCGATATGTTTCCAGTGTTTTCTAATGTTGTACATATCCTTGGAGTGATACCTGCTACATTGTGTTCTGCAGAACGATCATTCAGTACGTTGCGCAGATTGAAAACCTACCTCCGCAGCACCATGGGCAACAATGTGTCAGTAACACCGCACTTATTAACATTGAAAGGGCATATGCCAACTCTGTAGTCAACAATGACATAGATCGTATCATTGATATTTTCAGCAGTCAAAATGGCAAAGACAGTTATTAGCCTATTCTATGAGTTCATATAATAGATTCAGATGTAAGAATACTTTCGCTTCATATGTAGGCCTATGTTGTTGTATCATATGACCCTCATTTCTTTTTGACTGTTTCGTAAAAAAAATGGGCAACTTGCGAGAATTTTTTGGGCAAATAGTTTACCGCTTCCCCTGGCGAAAAATTGCCCGTACGCCTATGGGCAAAGCGGGAATAAAAGCGTAAATTTCCAGTTAGTAATGAAGAACGGCGGGAATTTTTAATCAAAATTCATAAAAACCTATAATAATCCATGTGAAACAGGAAGTTTAATAAATTACCTAGCGGGAATTTTTTATCAAGGATTATTTTAGTAAGGCTACGTATATTGATAAAGAAAGCGATCGAGACAAACGGTTTGACGAACTTCCAGTTATTCCCCTAGGCAAAACAAAATATATTGATACTTAAAGAGAGAAGCCAAAAAAAATTAATGATTGTAATCAAGATGATGATGATGATGATGATGATGATCACGGCATTGAACATCTTCGGCATAAGATGGTGTCATATAATTGCCAGATTATAGTGGTCCCTCACGGAACTAACCGAATGGTGAAAATTGAAAAAGGAAAAGTCGGGAAAATGCAAGGATTTAAGAAGGAACGTTGCTCGGCTGAGAAACGTAAATGCTTCAGAATCACGTAAAAGTTGGAACTTTGGTTATGGTGACTAGGACTAGGATAATGATTGCTAAGATAATAATAAAATAATAATAATAATGATAATAATGCTGCTGATGATATAATAACCAAATAATAATGATAAAAAATAGTAAAAATGAAAAAAAAAAAAACATTAATAGCAATGATATTAATAATTATAACGATAAATAAATCATAAATTTTTAAAACCAAAAAAATCTAAGGATATATTTACTAGATATTTTATAGTGGAAGGAGAAATTCCTTTTTAATAAACAAAGCTCAGTCTCCCCGCATTTTATTTTGCTTGTTGTCTTCATAAACAACGCTAAAAAGAAGAGCTCCTCCGTCAATCGATACTCGTCTATTATTGAGAAGGCTGCGAAATAAATTGTCAAAGACTGGGTAGATCAGAACAATCCGCGAGACCAACCTTTGGGGCAAATTTTGAAACGAAGATTTAACAACAACAACAACGTTGAGGTTTATGTTATCTACCAACTAATAATAAATCGTAAATCTCATAAAAATTATGACGAAGCTGTCATTTTCATTGTGCCGATACAAACTTCGTTGCAGACCATTTTGATGCGATTTTCTTGTCCACCCACTGCCGGAGACCCAAAGATGTCCGCTAAAACAGAATAATTGTCTCATACCTCGCATAAATCTTTTAACTTTGCGGTGTTTTGTTGCTGAGGTAAGGTGGTTGTTCCCAGTGAACCGCCAGCAAAAGAGAAAACCAAGAAAACAGCGAAATACTGAACCATGATTAGAGCTCAACCAGAACACTACGATTACTGAAATGAGTGCTACGTGCCCATCGGTTAAATAGCAAAAAATTGTTTTGTTCCTATTTTAATGTTGCTGGTTACCTCTTTGTTATATTTTATTTCCTTTTATGGTAGAAATATTTGTTTGTTTTCCTTCTCGAACAAGCTTCCCTTTTAAAGTGAGTCGTTATATTTTTATATACTATATTTAAATCACCATATCATTTACCTCATATCTTTAACAAACCACATCATTTACCTGTGCACGTTTCATTTGAGTTCGATTTTTCTTTTGCAGTAACCTTTTTTAAACGATCTCATTATACGTTTGCACGTTTGAGAACTTGGACATCGTACCGAAACAAATGCGTAATTTTAACCAATTGAAGTAACCTTGTTATGTGCACGATATTTGTTGCCTCTTTTTCTTGATGATGGCCTGTTTTTTTTTAGTTCTAACCCACAAAAAATTTAAGGTTGCAACCTCTTAAAAGCACCTCCTTCCAGGTGGTTGGTTCTTATCATTAAATTACAATTTTCATTCAGTGCCAGCCACGCAAGTTCCAACTGACAAAGTTCATAAGCTATATTCTTTTAAGATTCTCTTGCTAAGCATTTATTATAAGTTATGAAGTCTTAGCAAAGAGAGAACACGGCTAAATAGTAACAAAGCAGTTAAAATCAAGCGTTATGTCAAGGCATAATCATATGTTATTTATGTCGATACAATATAATATGTCTTTGTTGTCTCGCTGCATAGTTGGTCATCCGACTCGTGTCAACCTAACCTCTCTTTCAAGAGGCAATTAATTTCATCGCTCTATTAAAGGGGCGTACAACTGTATACATTCCTGCATTCGCTCCCTCTTGCTTTCACCCTCCCCTCCAACCCTCTTTGCCATCTGTTGGGAGAACTTCTGTGCGATTATGATTTAGTTTTGCAACTGGGCGAATTTCTAGCCCCACCATTGCTGAAAATAACAAATTGTTTAGTATTATCGCTGTTAATTTAAATGCGTCTTTGTTTGACCGTCAGTTAAACTGCCACTCAGACAAGTGGCCAATTAATGCCATCACTCGAGTGTCATCTCTGTTGTGACTTCAATGAGAACTTCAATGAGAGCTCCGCAAATTCCTGCTAGAGAATCGGCATAAATACTTCCCCTTGATAAGGACGGAACCGTTATTCCGCATCTAGCTACTGTCTACTATCACTGCCATGCCCGTTTCTTGAATACAAATAGTTTCAAAGCTTAACCGAAATTTCATCTTTGTTTTTGTTAACGTGCACGTAAGCAGAGTTTAGTAATTTAATTACAAGAGCATAAAGACTTTGATAGTGCTGATAGCTGTTGTTTATTGTTGTTTTTTACATGAAGTTTCTCTTTGCTGGCACGCCAAAAATATTAAGTCGTGACCTTTTCATCATGTTTCCCCTGCTCAGTACGTAGGTCGTGTTTCTAAACAAGCTCGAACTTGGCTGTCGTTGCTTTGTTTTCAAATACAGAGATAATAAGGACCAGCAAACTGGCCTGCGAGTAAAAGATGCTCAAAGAGTAGCCACGAGCAACTATAATTCCATCTTTGATAGAAGAAACTATACTAATGATAATTTATTTTACACTAAGAAACAGAATCCCTGATTTTTTCCTTTGTCTTTCTTTCTGTACGTTTTTAATCTTAGAAAATGAAAAGAATTTTAGCTCGTCCAGGAAATTTAACTGTGAGTAGAAATTTGTAAAATATAAGCCCTAGCCAAAGGTTTTTACTGTTTCTCTAGAAAAGGAATACTAATAGTGTTTGAATTTTCCCGCTGACCAGCTGCTTTGGTTCTTTTTTTCGTCTATCAAAAATTCGCTCCAAAGAGGCCTTCTTCTTTCTCATTACCATTTAAATACGCGTGAATTTCTTGCACTTTCCTTTCTCATAAAGAAGAAAGTGAATTTAAAGTACAAAGTCCATAAGTAAAGATTAGATAGCCCGCCATTACACCAAGGCGTCCCCGACAAGGTTAGCGCGCTTACTCCTGGATTATTTGTATACCCTTTTCTACCTTGCCTTTTTTGTTTGTTTGTTTGTTTGTGTGTTTTTCTTTTGTTTTGTTTTCCTTTTCCTTTTTTTTCTTTTCACCAGAAAAATTCAACAAAAATGCCTATTTTAAGGCAACGAGTCAGTTTTTATAAAGGGCACTGGTACCAATTCAGTGTTGGAATTCTCCCCTGCCACGCAGGAAGCCCGGGTTCGATTCCCAGCCAGTTGATCTATTTAAAGTTCAATGTGGATTGAAAAAATAAATCATAATAATAATAATAATAATAATAATAATAATAATAATAATAATAATAATGACAGAAAAGATTGTTATCGTCCAGTTATTTAGCCAATTTAGTCATAACTAGAGGTATAGAACAAAGGATTTTTCACAGATTGGGAGATTCGATGTACACCACAGGAAGTAGGACATGTACAGTTGTTTTCGGCTTTTAAATATCGCGTGTTTATGCAATCCCCCTCTACTATACTTGTACTCTAATAAAATTATTTATCGATATTCTCTTCTCCGTCTTTGCAACTTTTCCATATACCATGACGTAACCACTGAAGGCAGCAAAAAAAAAAAAAAGAAGCATTTTAACCTGTTTGCATTCAAGTATTTGGGATCAGTTCTGGATGGCTGGTTTGATAGAATGGTTCTGACAAATAAACACATTCATTCGAAGAAGCCGTCTTGTGTTACTTATCATTTTCTTGGTTTACTTATTTTCTTGTACCTTCGAGTCCTCTTATTTACAGTACGCTTCAGATAAAAACTCCTAGAAACCTCTTAGTTAAATATCTTTCCCTTTTCCATTTGAAGTGGAGTTGTATTGAAACAAAAAACTAGTTAAGAATTAGAAGCTTCGTGTTATTGTAAGGTCACTGTTTAAAGTGTTTAGCAGAAACAGGTCACCCTTACTTTCATGGAATTTAATCACATTTTACCAAGAGTAAAGAGATTTTTGAGGTGAGGTGGCTGTTCCCAGCGAATCCGCAAACATACATAGCATCAACGGGAGAGCGAAATGCTGCAGCGTTACGAGACTAGCTGTGTTTTGTGATCCGTGATTCGCGCTCTTTTATTGGATAGCGAATATTAAGTTACAATCTTGATTTCCTGCTTATTTGCATTTCCATTTATGGCATTAATATTTGAAGTTACCAAGTTGGTCCTTGTTTCTATTTCTTTCTCGAGCAACTTAATATTTAATGTGGCCACCTATTAAATAATATCCGGCCTTTTTAAGTGGGTAATCAGTACGTGTGAGTAGTCAACTGAAATTTTCGTCAAGTTCCAGCTAAACAAGCCCAA